GCGCTGCCCTGTGAAGGGGCAGGGAGATGGTGTGTGCCTCCTGGGTTGTGCTGCCTCAGGAAGGTGGGTGCCCCACAGCTCCCTGCCCCAAGGAGGGAGGTGGGGGCATGTCTGGGGCACCCTTCCCGAGTGGCACAGAGAGGGCTGTGTCCAAGCGCCTTCCCGTGGAGGTGTGCAGTGTCTGTTATGAAGAGCTAACACAGGGAAAACTAGGGAAGGGCTCGAGGTGTTCCCTGTGGTGTAAAGTCACAGGGCGGCTGAGAGATGGCAGTGGCCCCATGCCAGAAGTGAGTGGCAGAGGGCCCAGGCTGTCTCGCCTGCCCTGAGGGCTGGCATGCAGCCAGGGTCAAGTGCTGTTCCTCCAGCAGCACGAGGCTGCAGAGGTGCCTGGGTCCTCAGCCTGTGGGAGGGTGGCCAAGGCGGGTGCGACAGAGCAGGCTGGAGTGGCACAGGAGTAGTGAAAACCCCATGGCAAGAGAACAGACGGCACCACACTTGCGACAAGAGCTTGTTCTTCACCTACTGGCAACGCCTCACTGATAAGCAGGGCTGGGGCTTTAAGGGAGCTGAGGTGTGCTGGCAGCACATCTGGCTCACAGGGAACACCCTCAAGCCTGGGCTCCCCCTTCATGGTCCTCAATCCTTGAGGGTTCAGTGGGCATCTCCCAGGCACCTTGCATGAGCAGCTCCAGCTCCTCGACCACCTGCCTCAGCCACAGGCTCTTACTCAAACTGTGCCATGAAATGATGGAGGGTTTTTTGCCATGGCCCCCTCTTCCCCAGCACCAAGTTTACTCCTTGTAGGGTGCCAGGCACCAGGAAACACCTGCAGGCCACCCAAGCTCCCTGTGCTGGGCACTGTGGGGCTGAGCACAGGGGTTCCCCAAGGTGCTCCTGGCTCTTTCCATTAGTGGGTGTCACTGGTGCTCCTCTGGGATGTTGTATGGAGTCAACAGGTCCTAGAAATGCTCAGTGCGCCATGCCAGCTGCCTCTAGGAGAGCAGACCTTTGGTGGGCGGAAGGCTTCTCTGGGAAGAAAAGAAAGGTCTCACCAGGGAGAGGATTGCAGGCACCCCACTCTCCTTCAAAGGTTCCTTCAGGTTCCTCTCTCTGCCAGGGCCCTGCTGCAGACCCAGAGATGGGGTGCTGCTCACCACCCTGGCCCAGATGCCCGCAGTGTGTTTTCTTGGCAAGTTGAGTCCCTTTCCCACCACGGTCCTCAGGAACGCTGGAGAGCAGCTTCCTGGCCCACAGACAAGCCACAGGCCTCCAGCCCACCCTGGACCTTCTGCATGGGCTGGCAACAACAACTGTGCGCCAGGAGCTGGGCAGATGTGTGCCCCACGGGGGGATCCCTGCTACCTTCATCATCATCACCCCCTCCTGAGCAGCCAGGTTTGCTTTAAAGACCCTGGCTTCCTTTTATTGCTTCCCCTCTCAGATTGCAGCCGGCTGCGAGGGCTATTTTTAGCAGCCCGCCTTCTAAAAATAGCCCCGAGCTGTTTGGAGTTGCGTCACTGAGGTAACTCTCCCCACCAGCAGCTTGGCCCCTGTGCCCCAGGAGGGTACAAAAGGAGGCCCGGAGCAGCGGGGTCAGCAGGTTCAGACGCAGCCGGAGGCGGAGGAGGCAGGGGTGCAGCTTCAGGCATCCCAGC